TGGCAGGTGGGATTAGGGAGTTTGATCTCTTTTCAGGTAATGATAATATACCTTTTTTTTATAATTATAGGTGAGAACGATGGTAATTAGGCGATATTAACAACAACAGTGGCCTTAATGATATGAGGAGAACAAAAAACAACAACAGTGAAAACAATAGCAACAACAAGAATAATCTATCATCAATGATAATACAGAAACTAAGAAAGAAGGATGATAATAACAAAAATCAATTCAAAAATCAATTCAAAAATCAATTCAAAAAAGTGTGACAGCAAAATAATTCGTGACACTTACAGAAATGGCAGGTTTTGCCCGTGTACCCAGTGCCTGTGCAGTTGCAGCTGATCTCGTCGTCAATCACAGTGCATTTGCCTCCGTGCTCGCAGGCGTCGGGCCTCTCGCAGGGCCCCAGCACCTGGCAAAAGGCGGCTTGACTGTCTAAGAACATCCACATTTTCTCTCCTCTCCCTGATTGTCATATATATATATATGTGTGTGTGTGTGTGTGTGTTTATATATGTGTGTGTGTGTGTGTGTGTGTGTGTGTGTGTGTGTGTGTGCGTGTATACATATACATATATCCGTGTATATATACACACATATATGTAAATTAAAATGTCCATATATAGGAGATGTGTGTATGTTCATGGTTACTACAGTAGCTTTTTTCGATTGAAATAGTCAGCTATCTGACCACTGTAGGAAACTTCATACTGCATCAAATTTACTCTAATAATCCCAGTATCCCCTCTTGTCCCTCTTCCCCCAAGCAGTACACGAAAAAAAAATACAAACAGACTAACAGATAAAAAAAGAAAGAAAGAAAGAAAGAAAGAAACAGATCGACCAACGGATAAACAGATATGTGAAAACCTCACCTCGCAGTTATCAAACGTGACGTCCTTAGTAGCCATTGGTGTGTCGACAATGGCCCGGGCTGCCACTTGCTCTCCTCCCAGTTCGAGGGTCCTGATGCAGCCCACGAAGCCTTAAGGGGGAAAAGAAGGGGTTGTGAGCTTGTGGGGGTTGTGGGGTTAGATCATAGGGTTGAGAGAGGGGGTTTTCCGTGTATGTGTTTGCTTGGTTTGGGTTGTGATGGGGTTTGTTTGTTGGCACTCAGGTATTTGGGTTACTGTTTTTTTTTTTTTTTCTTTTTATTATCTCTTTTTATATGTCTTTCATCTCTTTCTTTTTTTCTCTCTCCCCTCCCTCATCTCTCTCTCTCTTTCTCTCTCTCTCTCTCTCTCTCTCTCTCTCTCTCTCTCTCTCTCTCTCTCTCTCTCTCTCTCGCGGAGTGTATGTGTGTGTGTGTGCTGTGTGGTACAGTGGTAGCGTTTTCGTCAAGCAAGCAATCTAGCCGACTCGCGTTCAAATCCCGCACTACCAGTGAGTGGTAACCCCGACCATTCCTTGCACAAGTAAACTAAAATAAACAGGCGGTCGCAATTTGATTGAAGTGACAAGAACCTCATACACTAAATCCTCCATTTCCCGCTCTTTCCTTCCTTCCTCTTTTCTCTTCCTCCCTCTCTTTCCTCCCTCCCTCCTTTTCCCTCTCTTCTCCCTCTCCCATTCTCTTCATCCTTTTCCCTCCTTCCATTTCCCCTTCTTCCCTCCCTCCCTCCTTTTCCCCTTCTTTCCTCCCTCTCTCCCTCTCCTCACCTACCCTATTTTCTTCCTCTCTTCCTTCCCTCCCTCCTTGTCTCTCCCTCCTTTTCCCCTCCCCTCCCTCCTTGTCCCTCCCTCCGTCATTTCCCCCTTCCCTTCTCCCCCATTCTCTCCCTCCTTGTACCTCCCTCCCTCATTTCCCCCTCCCCTTCTCCCCCATTCTCTCCCTCCTTGTCCCTCCCTCCCTCCTTTCCCCCTCCCCTTCTCCCCCATTCTCTCCCTCCTTGTCCCTCCCTCCCTCATTCCCCCTCCCCTTCACCCCTATTCTCTCCCTCCTTGTCCCTCCCTCCCTCATTCCCCCTCCCCTTCCCCCCCCCCCCCATCCTCTCCCTCCGAAGTACCTGGATGGAGATCAAGAACGTTAGAGCCGATGGTGATTTCTGAGGAGAAGGCGGTTTTCTTGGTCAGTTCCCCCTTCTTGCTGTTCACGTGTTTGTCGTTGAGTCGCATCTTCATCAGCTGTGTCTTGCTGTCGTAGCGGATGTCCACCTGGTTGGTAGATAGGGGGTTGAAAGTGTTTATCTTGTTTTGGTTTTTATGTGTTAGTTTTCTTTGTTTTGTTTTGTTTTGTTTTGGATGGTTATCTCGTATCGGGATTTTTTTTTTTTTTATTCGTATTTTTTTTTTTTTTTTTTTTTTATGAATCACTTCTTGTTGCTGGGAATTTTTTATTCATAGGGAGGGGGGGATTCACGTGATCACTCAGGGATGTATATTTTGCTTTTATTTCGTAATCTGATTAGAAATAGACATGGCAAAGTAACTATTGTATTGGTATATGTACATTTCCTTTTCATTTTTTACAAATTTCCATTCAGATCAAATTAAT